GGCTGAACAATATTTAAAATAAAATAATAAGTAAATCTGTATGTTCATGGAGTAGGTACTTCTGTGCAGTTTTTTTTTTCATTTTACACCCTTTTAGCTCTAGTTGTTTTGCCCCGACAAGAGCTCCTTACTTCACAGAGACACTCCAGACCCAATTCTCAAGCTGGGCTCTCTGGTAAACACTGTAAACATTTAAGGGCATTTCTCTTCTCTAAAGCGTGTTGCCTCTTGTACCGCTTCTATCCTGCAATTTCCAGCCAGCCCTAGGTACTCCCACCCCTCCACCTGTCTCCGGAGGTAACTTGTTTTATTCCCGAGGATGCAAAGCAGCACAGGACCCTGCCCTGGCACTGGCCAGCATCTCCCCTTGCCCACCTGGTAGCAGGGCTGGCCAAGGCACCGCAGTGGCATAACATAAACACAGGCAGTGTAAATTCACCACTGGAGTGATCTCTACAGCCAAAAAGTTACTTTCAATGTATGCATCAAAAAAAAGTCCCATTTGACAACAGCACATTTCCTTTCTTGTGTTCCTAAAAAAAGTCTTGGCACTACTACTCCAAGGCGAGGGGCTGGGGAAGGTGAGGGCAAGGTCAGCAGAGGCTGCATGAATGCCAGAGTAAGAGCAGCAACACCGGCTTAAAGACATTCCCTGCTGACTGTAAGTCTCCTCACGCCTCCGAGTATTACCCCCAGGGTCTGAATTCACTAAGTGTGGCAGTTCATAAACGGAGCAGCAACACCAGACTTTGGCAACGCAAATATTTAGCAACAGGTAAGGGACACATTTCCTTCACCAAGACAGACCGAGCCAAAGGCTGCAGGCGAACGGAAGGAGCTGCGACCAGGGGGTCACTGTGGTGCCCATAGCCATAGGTCAGCACTCCAGCACTACTCTAGCATACTGTATTAACATTTTTTGATGCCACATTTTTACATTCATGCTTAAAACTGGGAGGACAAAAATAACTGTAGATCAGGAAGAAGAATGGACTATGGTGAGCTCTAAGGATGAGGCGAGAAGTATAACGCCCTTACGCTGTATATGTGAGTTAACTGGGACACGCCGAGAGGATTAAGGGAACAGATTCAAGAAGTCGGGTAACTTGAACTGTCTTGGTAAATATCACAGCCTGAGACAGCTGCCGGAGACAAGGAAAGCAGAACTACACAGAGAGAAAAGGAGACCAAAATTATTCTCAGTGTAAGATCCCGCAAGTCGCATCTCTGAAGGACTGGCATTACCGTCACCTTTTTCAGTGCACAGCACTATGCAGTTCAGAAATTACCGCACACGCTGCACAATAAAGTCGGCAGGAAGAGCACTTTACTGGAGAGATACTGGAAAACTAAGATAATTTTAAAAGGACACAAAAAGAGACCTTGAGAAACCAGTGCCTGGACTGAAATTCAAGAGGGTTGGAATACTTGCAACTAACATTTAATTTTTAGTATCACCCTGGATAAAGTATCATAGGATCTTCTCTCCCTCTCCAGCCCCGATGCGGGATATCTAGCAGGCTTGCAAACAAGCTGTATTTGTGCTCAAAAAAAGCAAATGCTTAACTTCCAATTCAAATATGTATAATCAAATTTTGCAACAGCAGAATCTCGATTCGAGTTCTAGTGGGATGGGATGAGGCCATATCCTACCAGAGGCGTTAAGTGAAAGCAAACTCATTTCCCAGGCTGGTGTCCTGGAAGAATTTATAGGACTGAACATGTCAAAGTGAAACACTTTGAGCAACAGGAGTGAGAAAAGGATGAAAACGGTAGGATACGTGGCTCCAGCGAGGGATACATTCAGGAGTTCACAGTGCAGTCAGAAGAGCTCGAACTAGTAAAGTGCTGTGCCAAGATGCTGCGCCTCACTGGCGTCACAGCAGCCTGCAGCCTGTACGCAGGATGGCACTACCCACCGTACGGGTGACTCGGCTGAAAAAAAGTGACTCGGCTGTGCCGCACCGCCCCGGCCAGCTCTTTCCAGCAGGTCACAAGCAGCTAGCAGGGGCTCACTGTGCATCCAGCTCACCATGCTGCAGTTGGAAAAATTACCTAAGAGGATCCATTACAGAGCTATAGCAGAGGTGAAGGAACGCACTTCAACCAGAAAGTGAGTACCGGATAGACGTGGGAAAGGGTCTTCCAGCACGTGGGATGGAAAAGTTCCTTTCCATACAGGCATGGCTCTGTAAGACTGTGAGTAGCCCCCTTGCAGTGTTCTTTCTTTGCTGCAGTTACCATTATTTCCTGGATATTACACAAAACTTGTGAACCTTAACACTGCTATCGCTTTCAGTTCCTACCACAGCAGCAAGGAGTGGCCCTGACTCATCCGTGCAGGGCTGCAGTTGCTCAGCGGGGGTTCGCAAGAGCCGTGATGCTGCAGGAAGACAGACGGACGTCGCCAACTGGACGTATACGAATGTGAATCTGCTGGTGGGCATGTGAAACCTAAGAGGAATAGTTATGAAGAAAAAAAAATGGAGCAAGAGTCAAATGATGATGGAGAGGGGACAGAAGGCGATTTTTAGTAAGAGTTCATTATCTAGTTTTTTGCAAAGAGAGTTAACCTGATAAACAGCAAAGCTGTTAGTAGCCATTTAGAATCACTTATCATGTTCCTCTTAATTTGGTAACTGAGAGCTCCTATACCACCTACCAGGAAAGAAAACACGTCTAAACTTCTCTTCCTTTCCTCCAAACAAAGTTTTGATGGCAAAATCCTTTTGGGATAATAGTTTCACATGCATTCACAGATTTCTTTTTTTTTTTTTAAAAACCACAACACAGAATAATCATCAGTTTCGTCTATTAGCAAGTATATAAATACAAAAACCAAGCAGGAATTTTTACTACAGTCATTTCCCTTTCATTCCTAAGCAGACCCCTCGAGCAACACTGGGCTGCGAGGGCTGGCCATGCGCTCGCTCCATCTGCGCTAGAGAGTTTCCGAGACTGTATCCTTACGGAACAGAGCTCCCTGGTAACGGACCGCCAGCTCTGACAATTCACAGTCACTGAAGCTCACTGGCAAGGTTAGGAGAAACCTTCCTCCAGACCAAACTGTTCTGGGTATCACTGCTGTATTTTTTTTCTTTTTTTTTAATTATTATTATTTTAAGAGTGCTAGTTTCAGCAGGTGGAGAGATAAATAGAAGCAACTGAGCTTCATCAAGGTGCTTTGAAACAGCGCCAGGTTTGGGATTTTACACACCTTTGTACAAATCATCTGTCTGCTACTGAAGTCACTTTCAGTTTTGTAACAGCTTTTAGACAAGCTATACTTCAGCTGCTCTGGGAAACACGCTGTGGTTGACTGTTGGTAATTTACTGTTCTTTGCAACTTCTTTCACTCCTGTTCAACAGACAAAAATCTGATGCCACAAAATGACAGATTTCTTTGAAAGTGAGACAGGGAGCTCCTCAGATCATCATTTTCAGGAATTCAAGACATATTACTATTTTTTTTGTAATCAGGTTTATGTTTTATGCTACATATTAAAAAGCAATACAACTTCACTTCAAAGAAAACCCTGAACTTCCAGTCTACGTATCTCAGGTAACTGAGGAACCTATCTGAGTATCAGCCTGCTTGCTGTCAGTCTACTTACATCTTCTGCCTGAGAAATCACCTGTTGACTACCACAACAGCTTTTCCACCTCTTGAGGTGTTAGGACTGTTTATAGCCTATAAAAGGACCTGCATTATACCTGTTTGTATAGTATACACTATATATAGCCTTAAGGTATAGTCTATCACCTATATAATCTTTACAGCCTGTAAGTTAGATTTCTGGCATGGTAATCGCAGCTATTTGGTTACTCACCCAGTGGGTCTGCTCCTACGGGTGTACCATCTGCCCTGTTAACATGCCAAATCATCAAGTAAACATCATTTTAGGAGCTGGGTAGAAAAACCTGTTATTTTTTCAGCAGTGAATCTGGTAAATTCTCCATTTCTGGGAAGCACTGAAACACTTTATGAGCTTGCTATTCATAAAGTTTGCAATTTTGAATCAATCAAAGCTGAAAATATTTAAATAAATGAAAGTCTGCAATCCTGCCAACCCAACCAATTAAGCTTGACTTGTAAAGAGATCCGTTTTTACCCCCCAATCTGTACCCTCCCAAGTGATTTGAAAGTAGCTTAAAGCGCAATAAACACAAATAGACCTTTAACTACCACCTGTATAAAAACAGAACTGTTATTCTACAAAACAGGACAGGGTAGACTAATAAATATGCTGTGACTTGGTTTAGAAAATGATCTATACTTATAAATATAGTATTTTTCTTTAATTTTTTTTCCTGTATTTGTCTTTGTTTGTGATAAGCAGCTTGCTATTTCACTAGAACTTGCTTTCACCTGTAGAAGAAATCTTTTGCATTGCACCCTTCCGCTGCAGCACACCAACAGAGCAACTTCTACCCTCTGTGCTGAGATACCTGCAAACTTCTGCAACACACTTCTATCCGTCAGTCACATATTCTGGACTCACATGATTCCAAGTCCCCACATCGCATTTTTTCCACTTTGCCCTCTTGCAGAGAATTTAAGAGTATGAGAAAGCTGTCCTCTGTTGAAAACCTAAGTGTACGGAGGACCCGACAAAGCTGTAGCGGTAACTTAGAGGCTCTCTCAGCACAGCAGAGTTTACAGTTCCCTTCTAGGCAGTGCAAACAGCCACAAGTTCTTCCCTATGTCCTACCTGCGATATACAGTCACCCAGAGAAAGAGAAGAAAATAGATAGTTTCCTTCAGTTGAGGAGGGAAGAATATTTTTTGCTAATGGTAAGAAGTTGTTTCATAAAATATAGTTTATCTCTGTTCCCATACGTTATACTCTCTTCTTTATAAACTGTCCCTGCAGCGTCAGAATCCCTCTCCATACTTTTTCCCATAACGCTCCAATCCCTGCTTGGATTATTGGCAACACAAGCAATGCTGCGCAATTCCCTGATAATTTTTTATTTTTTTTAAAAATTAAATGCCCTACTTCCTACCCCCAAACCCAAAACACACACACGCAACCCACCCCCCCAGCCACCGTCTCAGTGATTCAGTCAGGACGGATTCACAGCATTGCTTACTCTGTGCAAGTGATAAAAGTTTTTCTTAATAGGCCACATAAAATCTTTTGTATCTCTGCCTTAGAAAACACACGGTCCCTGATGCAGATTAAGAATTATAATGAAACAGGATTCTGTGGAAAAATGGCACAGACCTAGAAAACCACCCACCTCCATTTTAATTTCAATATCCAGTGTATGCAGACAATAGGTTCTTTCCCTCCTTTTTTAAAAAAATAAAGCTACTTTCCTCTATTCAGTATCCTGATCACATGAAAAATAAAGATGAGGGCTGGGGGAAAAGGAGTGGGGAAGAAGAGGTGGGAGAGTTTTCCATTAAGATGGCACCGTATCAGGAACAAGAGCCTCACTGAAACACAGCTTTTAGTTTTAAACCAGTTCTTTGGAGAAAAATGCACAACCCCAATAAAACAATGTAACTTTGCTTCTGTGCACGGCTCAAGAAAGCCGGTTTGAATTTGGTGGTAGGTCAGCCATATTCTGATGAACTATTTTCATTGGTTCTCACAGTTTAGAGGTGACGTTTAGCAGGCACACTTTTTCTCCTCTGGTTTTGCTGAATCTAGCTTTCCCGAGCTTCCTCCGTTGGCTGTGTCAGAGACCTGTGTCTTGTCCACGCACTGCTCCATACGCTTCATTATCAAGTCCAGAAGCGTGTCCACAGCCTTCTCCACGTTCTGTCCGGTAGCAGCACTTGTTTCGAAGTACGGTATGCTACGGTGGAAAGGAAAAGGTTTGCTGGAGAGACTTTTAAAGACAACCGAGACTCAACTCTCTGTAACACCCTCAGTGCAGCTATCAATGGTGGGTTTAGTGGCAATGAAATGAATGGGACAGACTTCTGGTTTGTCGGGACTCTACTTCCTTGCTGGGCAGAACCCAAACTCCTGCTCCTAGCACATGGTGGCATGATGACATGAGCACAAAAATGCCACATTAATTTACAAAATGTATCCTGGCATTTTGACTTCAAATTGCGATAACATCAGCACAAACCTTGGCTGAAAAAGTCTTTCGGGTAACCAGAAAGTCTACTTTAAAGAGAAACCTAAGTCTGCATTACAGAACATTTCAGAGACCACAGAACATACCAGAAACCTTTTTTTTAGGCAGATAGTTACAACTATTGCTATTTAGCAGTCCCTGTAAGTACTGTCTCCCTCCCTTCCTGTCTACTTATAAGCGCAACTTAACTTGGCTGTTTCCATTCTGAAATCCCCTTTGAATCCAGAATATTGCCTTCCAAATCGTCTTTTTCAGAAGAGAAGATTATCAATCGCTCCAGCACTTCCATCGTATGAAATCGGGCATGAGCTACCATCTCCTCAGTGTCACTGTCCTCCTTACCTGGCTCCACACAACTCTTTAATATTCTTTTATTATTTTTAAGTCTAATTTGTTTACTACTCCTCACAGTCTCTCAGGCCATCTTCTGCTGCTGGCCCAATTCTCTCTGAACATCCCTCATTGTACAGTAAGGGCCACTAAGGAAAAAAAATACACATTCTTTTTATCCACAGCACTATTTACTAATTATATTAACTATCAGCCAATTTATCCAGTTACAGGACACTCTGCAGGTGTTTTTAGTGCAAAGTAATGTAGAAGGCTCACTAGAACAAGAAAAAGGCCATTAACCGTTTTATTATCCATCAGGGAAAAACAAATAAATTCAGTGCCACTGCACACCTAGAACCTGACCAAAATCCACAGGTGTCTCCGCTTCCAAACTAACTAGAAAAGCAAATTATAGAAATTGTTAGTTCTTTAGTTCATGACACTGAGTGTTCATCTGCCTTTGGTATAGTCTGTCCTGAACTCTCAGGACAAGCCAACATCCCAAGAATGTAGTTTTCTAGTAAGAATGTTTCATTCCAGCCTTATTTCTTATGTTGTAATATTTTGGCCAAACTACTAGAACAGTGTGTTTCATTCTATCTATTTCCTATTCAAACAGGTCGATCTGAAAGCATGGCAAGTTGGATATCACTATAGGTGTATGTGATACTGCAATGCCTACAAATCTTAGGGTTTGTAAGTATACTTGCAAGTATCTCTAGCCAGTCATCAGCTGCACCTACAACAGTTATAGACTAAATTTAGCTTCTGTCATAATTTGCTTACCCATATTTGTCTGCCAGGTCTTTTGCTTGCCTTTCGTTTACCTCCCTTTGGTCTGATAAATCAGCTTTATTACCAATTAAGACTATATCTGGATTCTCACAATATGCATTGGCTTGCAGCTGACCTAGAAGCAAAAATAAACAGGAGTTAAGAGAATGTTCGAAGCGCCTTAGAGACCAAGATCGTTGACAAAATAATTCAAAATACCTTTCTGGCTCCCCACCTCAAAATATCCTAGACTAACCAGCCAACCACTTTATGCCAAACACATTTCCTTGTCGTACATTTACTTGCTAAGGGGAATTTTTCAAAATAGGAAGTAGAAATGGTACTAGAAAATTATTTCCAGTATTTATTTTACCAACATACAAAAAGACTTAGCTGCAATGAGGTGCACTAAACACAGTGCTTTAGTGGAGGAGAACCTCCACCGGCCAGAACTTTTATTCTACAAGACTCATAAGGACATTGTGGAAGTACAAACAACATCCCACGTCATCTGCAAATGCAGCTCTTCAGAAGTATAGGACAAAATCCTCAAGCACGTTTTTCTCTTGGATATACTCAGTGGTTTGAATGCAGTTTTATCCATTTGAAGATCCAGGCGAAAGTACTGTCCACAGCCTCGCCCCTCGTAAGTAATTGTACAAAGCCATTTACTTACACTTGCCTCAATCCTGAGGGGACTGACTTGAAAAGGCGCAGTATACACAGAAGAATATTAGAGACTCAGCTTGGTAAGCAGCGGAAGACTGTGATGATGGGGATTGTTTAGTGGGAGGAAGGAATCTCTGAAGAAGATGGAGCTGTTTTCACAAAGCTATCTGGATTCTCACGTTATCCCCACCTTCAGCTTGTTTGCTGGAAAACTGCCAGCTGGAAATGTACTGGCCTCTGTCCTTCCAGCACTCTAAATATCCTCAATTAAAAACAAACTTTAAGAATTTAACCTTTGTTTCACTTTCGGTCTAGCCGTTGTCTGAAGGAAAACTAATGATAGCAAACACTATGGGCTTTCAAACCAAATCCTCAAAGCCCAATCTTAATTTTAATTTAAACCTCAAAGCAGATAGGAAGGAATCACACAAATAGAAAACACACCATAAAGGTAACAGCAATATCCAAAGTACAGTTTCCAAGCTCCTGTATATCATCTAAAATATGGGGTATGGCCAAGGAAGTGTCGAATGCCATGAATTTTCAAGAGGCAACAGATTTATTCAAGTTGTACCAAATCCAAACAAGATTATGAAGAATATGCCCAAAAGAGTCTGTCGTGCAAAAAAGAGAAGAGCATGTATCTTTCCAATTTGATGAAGCTTTCACCCCAAATTACAGGCTGCAAGTACCCCACTTACGGCTGCACTAGACATAACTACTTTCTTTGTTTGTGAGCTGGAAAATGCTCAATGACGTGCATGAAGCCTAGAAGCCTAAAATACACAAGAAAGCTTCAAGTCAACCGATAAACGCGAGCTCTACAGTTCTACTTACTCATCCAATTTCTGACATTTAAGAAGCTCTGTTGACTGGTGAGATCAAACATTAGTAAAAAGCCCATAGCATCTCTGAAAAACGCTGTGGTGAGACTTCGAAATCTGAAGGTGGAAGAAAAAAAGACAACATAGCTCTATTAATACAAAGTGATCTCTAAGGTAAGCACTTTTCTGGCAAGCCTGAACTGAGTAAAGGCAAAAGAGATAGAGTAAAGCTTTTCTGAATTGCTTGTGCAAAAATTCTATTTAAATATATCTTGAAATCTGAAGAGTCTGCAAGATTTAGTGGACATACGTTCCCTTGGAAGTAAAAACAAAATAAAATAATCCTTGACTTTCATTTTAGCTATGATCCATCACACCAGTCAACATTTATTAATCAGTGTGTTAGTAATTTACCAGAGGAAGCTTATATGTGAGAATATAAACATTGTCAGTGACTAATCTATTAGTTCAAATTCTGCCTGATTTAACCAAGAGCGAGACAGGTTGCCTAAAAAAAAAAAAAAGATACCAAAGCATTTAGTGTATCACAGATCAGTGATAGAAATGGATTCACCAGCCGAGATTACACACACTTAGTCGATGGACGTGCACTACTCAATATAGTCAATATTAAAGCAAACAAAGGAAGAGTAGGTGGCTGTTTACATGCTTTTGATTGTTCGATGTGACTATCTGCTGTGAAGCTCAGCTAAAAGGAAAAGGTAACCTTTCCTTGCAGAGCTCTAGACAACACATGCACTCCGTAAGCAGACCTGCCTAAGTGTGCGTTCACAAGGGACATGGTTCACGGGCTTCCTGCAAAGCTACGGAGCTGGATGAAACTACAAACCATGAAATGCAGCTCTGTTTGTCACCAAAAGGCCACAAGCCTGTTCAAATCAGAAATGTGAAGAAATAGTGCTGGAAAACTGTGCAATGGCACTCTGGTGTTTTCTATATCACAGGGATCTAGCACATCACAAAACAGCACTATATAATCTCGCACAAACCAGCAGTACCAGAAAGAGTAACTGGTATTTTACGACAGACATCCATGAAAATTAAAACAAAAGCTCTCCACAGAAACATGTCATGATACCTGACGCTACTTTTAGGGTTTCTTTGGGGGGGGAGGGGCAAGTAGCCTCAAAATATTTAATCTCTTGCAGAGGTGTATACACAGTGTTGGAGAGTAAGGGAAAGAGATGCAGACACAAAATTTCAGCTTGCTTCTGCTTTTCTTCCAGCAGCAACCCCTCCCACATGGTATTTGCACTGCTCACTCAGAAAACCTGAAACCTGCCTCATCACGACTTTCCTTCCTCCCCGCTGGGCAAACGCTTCGGTCTGCTGCTCTTCAGTCGCTATTACACAGCAAATAGGTGAGAGTTGCATTTTCTTCCCTTGTTGGCAGATGACATCAGTAGTCACACTGAGGGCAACCTTACACACTTCATCATAGCAAAAACCAGTGTATGTAACTAGCCAGGGGAAGCTTAAGAAAGCAGTATGCACAATTCTCCCTTTAAGAAAATAATGGGATCAAGTTTAATAGTGACAAGTCAAGAACGTCTTTGGAATGAACAAATAAGTGTGCACACAGAAGATGGGGAACAACTGGTTAGATAAAAGAATCCTTCTGCAAAGGAGGATTCTGGTCAGTCATGAACTTAATACATGTCAACCACTGTATGCTGCTGCAAAGAAGGCAAATACAACCAAAACCATAAAAGTAAGTTAAGAAGCAATTCTTCCATAGTACTTGGCATTGGTAAGACTTGAACTAGAACTCTCCATCCCACTTGCATGCTGGTGGTGAGAGAGGCTGGAACCAGCCTGGGGCAGTACAGAACAGAAAGCTTGCTCATCATAGAAAAGCCTGAGCAAGCCCAAGTCACGCAAACTGGAGAGGACTTAAGGAAGGCATCAGGCTGCTCAGGACCTTGTCCACCTGAGTTGTGAACACCTGCAAGAAAACACAGACTGCACAGCCTCTGAGAGCGACCTGCTCCAGGGCTTAACCACTCCCATGGTCAACACTTGTGTCCTTCTACCTAGCTGGAATATCCTTGCTGCTGCTTGTGACCGCCACCTCTTGCCCTTTAGCTGTGAGCCTGAGGAGAGTCTGGCTCTGTCTTCTCCCCACTGGGTAGACGAAGACAGCAATTAGCCTCCCTTTAGTCTTCCCATCTTCAGGCTGAACAAGCTTAGCCCTCTCAGCCCTCACCGGATCATCATATGCCTCTGCCTCCTGACCTGTTCTAATGGCACTCCATGGGACTTCAGTTTATCAGTACAAAGTATCCCACACCGGGGGTCCCAAGAATGGAAACAGTACTCCAGATGTGACCTCAGAAGTGTTGCATAAAGGGGAATAACCACTTCCCTCAGTCTGATGGCTACATGCGTGCCAATGCAGTCCTGTATGCTGCGCGCCTTCATCAGAACATGCCTTGCCATCCAGCCTAACAGAAAAAATGTGAAATACAAGAACAAGACACTTAGGTAGGTTATACAATGTCTTCCATAGGAGATTAGGAACATATTATGAAGCCAAAATAACAGTACAAAACAAACCAAAAAAAGCTAACCAACGAACAAATAACCCACGTGTGCCAGAAACGAGGCAGCGTGCTGCTAAGGCAGGGAGCAGACCACCTTCAGTTCTTCCAGTCCCGAGATCCTCTCTCTGATCACTACATCAAAGCAGTGTCAGAAAAACTTTATTTCTGGAAGATATTTTTCTTGTCCTAAAATATGAGGATTTCTGATATTTTTCACCTGAATGGACTAATGGTTTACCAGAAATGTGAAAAACTCAGAACTGCTTTCCAATGAGCTGAACTCTGTTACCTTTCCTGTCCGGCTGTGTCCCAAAGCTGGAGATGCACCTTGAAGGCTTTTCCTGGAGATCCATTTGGTCCTCTGCTGTTGTATACCTAACGAGAGAGTCCAATCAGTACAGCCATACAGCTCACACTGAAATCCATCGCATGGGTCACAGACTTGTATTTTGTGCAAGCGATAAGTAAGGAGTAAAAGTTCAGTCCTTCAGTAAAAGCTGACTCTTACCTCTAAAAGCCACTTCAGAGGGCCACTTATGATAATATTTAAAAACCCAGGAGCCACATGAAACGTCTATGAAAGCTGCACTTTAAAGATAATTTGGTCATATTTAGCACTTCAAATTAGATACCAATTCTTTAAAACTTGGCATAGCACTGTGCTGAGCAAGCTGTCTGTGTTCTGTTTCATTGCTGTTCTCACAAAATTTACAGCTGACTGACAGGATTAACCACTATTATAAAAAGCTATTTTTTCTTCATTAACTTCTGTTGGACATTAATGACTTCCTTACTAACTGCAACTGCAAACTCATAGTGCTTAAAGAAATCACTGTGACCTTTCGCTGGGGCTCAATTCTTTATTAAGCAGAAACAGCGTGTAAATTAGCTGTTGCAGTAAAAGACAGAGGGATAAAATAAGTATGAGCTGTTTCTGTTATCTGAGGTAGTTTAGCAGACTCTCAGCAATTTTAAAAGCAGGCAAATATTGCCCTTGCATTTAGATCAAGAGAATATGGACTTTATGGACACGTCTGTATCCAGGGGCTGCACTGACCTTACCCGGGGAAGCGGAACACTTCCTCACCTGCCCTCCCTGGACTGTAAAATACAGCCATTAGTTCTCTTGCACAACCAAGTTAATAATATTAATTGGGGGCTGGACTAGATGACCTCTGGAGGTCCATTCCAGCCTAGACTATTCTGTGGTTCTGTGGACTTATGTAAACTGTTGTCATTTCAACAGGTAGCTTCTGACTGCAGCATGCCTTTCTTTCCTTTGTGGCAGGTCCCTGATCTGAAAACCAGAAGAGAATCAACAGATCAACCGCACCACATTTGGGAATTAAACTGGTTTGCTGGAGCATGTTCCTGTAATATTTAGCGTGATAAACAAGGAATCTCACAGGGTCATTTTTTAATATGACTTTTACACAACAGAAAAACATATTTAACCTTTTGGATCTCTTTCTTAGAAGACAATTTATTAGATTAAATCTAAATATTAGATTTATTATTCATTAGACCTTCAAGGCATTTCAAAGCTGGTAATTTCATGGAAGATGTAGTTTATCCCACACTTATAAACTATCTTACCCCAAAATGTACGGTAATGGAAAATTACGGAAGAAATCTGTCTGCAGCCTTTAGCAGAAAAGTTCAACCTTCTGGAAAGAATCCAGCACCCATGTTCAAAACACGTTAATGAGTGTCTGACCAGCCAGGGAAAGAGTATTCCGGCAATTTGCATGTTCAGACATTTCCTTGCAATAAAACTGTTTTTAATATTTTACTCTTATTACATCAGTGCAATCCCACAGTGCAGACAAGGAGCCAGGCTCCACTCCGACCCGAGCATCATGTTTAACCGGCCTGAACTTGCTGTAGTGCTGATTATGAGAAATTCAAGACAGAATCCAGATCCACGGTTCTTTTATTCAGGGGACCCCTGAACCCCCATCTTCCAGGCGGAGCCTGCGCGCCCCTGTCACCATGGCAAAACTGAACTCGGCACAGCAGACACAAATACTGGCAGTCATGAAAAAGTTGCCAGGGAAGATGAAGGTGAATGGGGGAGTGATGCCCACCTTTTCATATTCTAGTGAAATAATAGGAGCTTAAAACAGTAAGTTAAAAAGAATCAAATTTAAAGAGGTCTCCATCTTTCAACTGGGCAAGTATTTACATTTCTTTCTATTAAGGAAATGACTAAAATAATTGCCCAGGGTCTAATATCTTGTATTTATTATGGTTTTACTGTTCAAGCAAGCTAGAGGGATTCCTATTAGAAAGCTGAATTTGTCCCCTATATTTAGCCTGCATCAGTTGTCAGGATCTATGAGCAGATACATTAGTCACATTAAATTAAAACAAGGTGAGCGTGCTCTCACATCCACAAAAAGTACCTGAATGACAGTACAGAAAACTCTCATCTTCTATTTAACATCAAGAAACAAAAAAGCATGGCAGAGCAGGCTCACGCACCTGGCATTAAGAAGCACATTGATCCTAACCTACGAGGACTCCTGGTCACAGGCTCGGTATGCTCAGCCTCCAGCCTTGCTGCTGGCAGCGACTCAGAGGAGCAGCGTGGTCCACCTGGTGGAACCGCTTCTTGTGCCTTCACTAGTTTACTGCGTGATCTGGAAGCAAGCTGAAACTTCTGTGCTTCGGTAAGTTTCCATCTTTTCTATTTAAATTATGAGTTTGGGGGCCAGAGTTATTTCTAGTCATAAAACACACCCCATTCACTAGCACTATGGAAACCTGCTCTTGTAAACCAATGTGCAATAAACAACTTTACAATCCAACACCGGGATAAGGATAATGGCACCTTTCCCCTTTGTCTAGTTCCTAACTGTGACTTGCTTAAGCCAAAAACTAGACCAGGAAAAGCATTATCAACACATCTGTACCCCACAGGAAGAGAGGCAGTACACATTACAGAAAATTTGTTCTCAGCAGAAATGAATAAAGAAAAAAGAAGGTGGTATCATTCGTATGAGACAACTTACCACTCGTTTTTCCCGAAAATCTATCCCTACTGTCGTGATGAATTTTGGATTAAATTTGTTATCGGTGTATCTGTACAGGAACGTTGTTTTTCCAACCCCAGAGTCTCCAAGGGCCAGGAGTTTGATCAGATAATCATAGTCTCCATCAGTCATAGTGCTAATTTTTAGGAACCTACGTAAAGAGGAGAAAAAAATTGATTTAATGATAACAAAACCCCCTCTCTGTTTGTTTTTGCCTCATTTCTGTTTTTGTTCACGGAAATGCTACTGCCTGTGCTCAGGGCTGAAAGTTATGTTTGTGTATTTTGAAAAACGCCAATGCAAAGCAGCAGTGAAACTCGCAATTTCACTTCAGGTGCCAGGAGATAATACAACTTACACTTTCAATTTTCTAAATAAATAAAATTGAAGCTTAGAATGATAGAGTTTGGGACAAAGAAATTATTTTTGTTCTGAGGATAACAATAAGGCCTATAATGAACATAGGTATGAAACCTAGGGCTAAACCCTTCTGCTCAAAGTATTTTATTATGAGTTTGAAGAAAAAGGGTAGGGCAGAAGCAGGCATGAAAAGGAAACTCAGACGTGGCAAGGACCATTCTCAGGGCTCAAGCTCTAACCAGCATTACATGACATTATCAGGGCTATGTATTTTTATCTGGAAAGAAATATTTCCCCCCCCTAAGAGAACTAATTAAAAATGCAGAGTAAGCAGTTATCCCAGGGCCACTGTTAATAAAAGGAGAGAGCTCAAATGCAGTTTACTCTCTAGTATGACCAGATGAACCCACAGCTGCCTTGTTCTGTAAAGCACACAACCAAAACCACCCCCTCATCAAACGCTGCAGATACTAACTGCAGTGAAGAAGAAATAAAAGCAGATGACAAGCCCACTGCCTGGGTTCAGCTCCGTGCCTCGGTTAAGCTACTGCTGTGACGGCAAGCGGGGGCATCTCCCACAGCCCAGGGAGCCACCTGAGAGTGGCCGACGTCCAGAGAAAGCCACAGACAGCTTACACGCCTCGACAGCAGTTGTAGGCTCTTTTCTGTACATAGCAGTGAACAAGAGCAGCAAAGCCTACCTCATTAAGCACTTGTAAAACAAATATACACGTCAGAAAGCAACACAAATTTGCAGAAAGAGGAAAATATTTATCCTATTTACCCAGGCTGCCTCACAGCCCAGGCAGCAGCTCCCGGAGCAAAGTGCATGCCGTAGAAATGGGGTTTTCATGGCCCCACACACAACAGTTCCTGGCTTTTCCCAGTCTTCTGAGTCAAGTGACACAACATATTTGGGAGGGAAAGCCAGATACAAAGGAGGGACAGCTTTTCAGCATTTTCTTCTACTTTGGTCTTTTCCCGGTTGGCCAGTGCAACCGAGCGCCTGTGTTCAGGGTCACTTGGGCTCCCACCAACAGAAATGTTCATCCTCCATCTGAAGCAGGGCACACCATCTGCCAGCACAACCTCCTGCAAGAACCATGCCACGGACACCCAGCTTGAGCAGAGCACCTTCAAAAAATTACTTCCCAGCCTGGCCAAGCCTTCACCCAGAGGAGGAGCACCCTTTCTCCAACCGGATTGCTTGCCCAGCAGGTTTTTTATTATTTCAAGTTCAAGGGGAGCGTTGTATTAGCCTAAACCTAAAGCTCCCACTACTGTGTTTTCTTTGTTAGTATTTACTATGAAGCTCTATAGGAGAAGGAAAGGGGACCTATGTAAGAAATAGACCTACAAAGTATTTATTCACATGTACGAAATGCCCTGATGATGAGAAAACTGGAATCATATGAAACACCACCTAGTTTACATCCTCTCTTACCTTGTTCTCAACGTCATTTAAGCCACCTCTTTTTTCCAACATCTTGTTAACCCTTAGCACGGATGAACAGCCGTTCCATTTGGATCTCTATGCTGAGACTAATTACTGTGGTATCAGAGCAGGAGACCCTGGGCCATATCCCAGTCATAAAAACTACTGCTTGTTTCAGTACAAGACCTTAATTTCCATCAGAATAAAACCTACCTTTCTGAGCATTTAAATTAGCAAGTACTGACCTGCTTTGACTAAAATAGTGAACTAAGCCCGTTTTGATCATCCTGCATTTCAACAGCTTTAAGGATAAAAAAGCTGGCTGCGTACTGAGCAGTTTCATTGTACGAGATTTATATCTTTGACAGATAGAGCCACCCAGAGAGGCAGGACAAGCTTTTGAGGAATTCATCTTCTGATGATAAAAGTTTAATGAATCAAGAGAAAAAGGCCCCTGATCTGACAGCGCTGCCTTGCACTGCCTTTGGTCTGCGCTGGGCAGGGGAAGGCCAGAGCACCAACACAGCAACTTCACACAAATTAATTCAAGGCCTTTAATCCTTTCCAGAATATCCCAAGTTTACCACAAGGCTCCACTGAGCAAGAGTAATTTCTCCCCAGAAGTTTGAGGATTATCAAAGTATTTCTGACCAATGCAATAACTATTCTACAGGCATTTCATTCAACAAATCAGAAAAAAAGAAAGGTATCTTGGGAGACGATTCTCCCCCAAATGCTTGACCGGTAATACAAAGTATTAACTTGGTATTAGACACTAGTCTGAAATATCCACGTTCTCTGGGAGCTGAAGTTCAGCATCTCCTTGCTAAGCAAGTGTGCAAAGCAGAATATTCAGAATTCACCAGGCCTCTAAACGCTGAGCAAAATATACATCAGACTAGGATGATTAAAAACCTATTTTTGTAAATCTGTCACGAGAAGGCAGTTGGCGCTCCTATTCCCAGCACTGGCTGCTTTTCCAGAAATTCCTGCCCGTTTGCACCGGGGGCTGCACAGGCGTCGCAGCCTCTCCCAGCCCGGCGCTAGCCAAGGCAGTCACCCCTGCAACCAGGGCAGGGAGGCAGCCTGGGTGTCTTTTGGCAAGGCGACTCTGACTCCCCTCTCCTCATTTTCTGTACCGCGTAGGAAAGTAGAATAGCAATTGGTTGGACAAAGGGTTTTTATTCCTTCAGATTTTAACCTGAAGCTACCAAACAGTTTTCCTCTCCTTGACCAGCTACGTGATGGAGATGGGAGGAGCACGCTTCACAAAAACCTGGGTGCAGGCAGAGTTTCACAGGCCAGACCGATCCACTGCCCTCACACTGCCGTTACTGTCTTACCACTCCCAAAATACTGCAGTGCAACAAACTAAGTTCTTGTTCCACAGGAAATTTGAGCATTAAGATTTTAATTTCACTAGAATGAAAGCGTTAAAATTACAACTGATTACCAATAATTACTATTAGATAAACTTCTAAGCTTGCTTTTAAACATGTCTATAATTAACTGGATTTGAAAACCCTAAATGTTTCATTTTGTTTCATGACAAATGTTAACTTAAACAGTACATACAACTGAAGTATAAAAATCATATACCATATCGGAAACAAAGCAAGGTTCTTCAGTGGAGGAGGTTTGGGGTTCTTACAGAAAAGAGACTTTATTTCAAGAGAATTTCTCCTAGTAAAAATCTGAAAAACACTTCAGAATTTTCTATTAAGAGGTTATTAACAAGGCATTTTAATGAAAGTACAGTATACTTTACTCAACTCTAATTTTAAATGGCTCAATATATTGAGCTACTGAAAAGAAACACCCCTGGGCTGTAACGCAAAAGTCTTACATTGCTAAAACAAAGCAACTCAATTCACTATTTTCCATGACGACATTCAAAAAACACCCCTGTGCCTGGAACCTTAACTTTCGAGTCCTCACCATTCTGAGAGTATTTAAATGGACTTGAAGTTGTAATAGCAGCGACAGTGAGTCATTTTGCCGTGACTGTGTCTCCACCACAGACCACGTGCAGTCAGAGCAGCCAGAACCAGCAAGGTCCCCCCCGCCGTCCGCTGCAGTCAGAACCAGCAAGGTCCCCCCCGCCGTCCGTCCCGCAGGGCTCAGTCAACCTGCAAGCGCCCACACAGACCAAAACCAACTTTCCACTCAACTAATGCAATCTCACCCTCCAATTCTGAAGCCCGTGCTGTCTCTCTAATACCATGTTACCAATTAAGCTTTACAAAAACCCAAACAGGCCTCCTGACCGTCTCTCCCAACCCTCTCTGCCAACGTGGCCAACAGCCAGAGGATGATAAATGGGACGTTTTGATGCTGTTCTTCCAGGCTGTGCATCTAGACTGAGCCCGATTTAAAAAAAAACACTCTTCTGCTTTCTTGGCAGACAAGATTCCCATCTAGACCAGAAGCAGCATCTTGTTTCTTGATTGATTATTTTGTTCCATCCCTATTTAATGTTCTCTAACTACAGTGTGAGAGATCATTTAAAATCTGGCACTTGTCAGCAGATACTCCAGAGAGCATTTTCTCGATAGAGAGATACGGCTTCACATAAACCAGCCAAACCTAAAGACATTCAGTTATAGCCTACAGGGAGAAGAAAATCTACTCCTCGGGCACGGTGCCTTTGCTCTGCGGCTCTGTACCCAAGGCACAGAAGAAACGCACAGCAGCACATCCCACCGCACCCGGCTTGGCATGCCCAGAGCAGCCTCCCAAACACAGCACCTCCAAAGGTGGGACTGTGGAAGCAGGAGGGCTCCAGCCCTTTGCACATCCATCAATAACCCCTCCACCTGAAGGAGCAGCCTTGGCACAAGTCAGCAGCTCTCTCTGAAGTAATGCTGAACTCTGCTCCAGAAGACCCACCCCAGTGCATGGAAAGGGATATGGAGGAGAAAAGTTGTAAGTCCAGTTTTCTTCTTCCATTTGTAGTGCGTTCCTTAAAAACTGGGAGAAAGGCAATTAACTGAAATCTAAATTGCTTTTGAAAAAAAAATACTTTTGGCTGGGAAAAAAGTCTGCAGAAGAATGGTTTTAATTCAGAAACTCTCTTTCATCTCAAGATGTTTACATGCAGAGTAGGAAAAAAATTAAGTAATCTAAAACTCTGATGAACCTAACCTAAAAACATGGCCTGTTAGTTATACTTTTAGCCTCTCAGAATTGAAAAAGATTGAAAAATTTTAAAACTTCTACATTTCAAACTTTGCAGATTTTGAAATTTTAAAAGACTTTCCTAATCAAATAGACTATCTACTAGATTTTCTGATAACACATTTTCTCATTAACGGAGAGAGTTGTTGAAAGGAGTTCA